AATAGAATAGAATAGAATAGAATAGAATAGAATAGAATAGAATAGAACAGAATAGAACAGAAGCCTGTCCCTGGCCTACTGCATTTGGAGGTCATGGGGCTTCAGGCTGAGGTACCAGCGTCAGGACCAGTGCTGGCCCCAGCAATCACGTTCCCTGTCCCTGCAGGCAGGAGCTTTCCATTTCTCCATTCTCCACTCCACCTCCCACATCAGGACGCATTCTCCTGACCCCACGTGGGCTGATGGATGGGGGAAACAGGGCACCCATCAAAACCCATTAGTGCCGCTGCCACCATCCAGCCACTCTCCTCCAGTCCAGGGGCTATTAAATAAGGCATTCACAACCAGCTTTTGTCCTTGTTCCCCAGCTAATGCTTCCTTTATTTCTCACAGGGAGCTGAGCTCTTGCATTAGGGCTTTGCATTCCTCAAGGGCACAGGGCTGTGCATAGAGCTGCCCCACTCCAGTGAGCCCATCCCTGGTCCCAGCAAAAAGGGGGCACTGAGGGTCAGGGAGGATGATGCTTGCAGCTCTGTGCACTGCACTTTACATTCCATAGGTGCTGGCCAGCTCAGAGCTCTGCCCAGCCATGAACTGGGCAGAAGTGGGACTGGAGCAGTGCTTTATGCAATGAGCACAAGGCACTGGGGGTAGCAGCAGTACCTGTGATGGCGTGGTGGGAGAACGCCTCGACGTAGATGAGATAGTTGTGTGGGCAGTGCTTCTTCAGCCATTTGCACACATCCTGCTGGCTCCACAGCACCACTGGCTTGGTAAGGCTGCCCAGCGTTGGGCTGGTGTGGTAGATGCCATAGTGATCGCAGCCACGGCCCTACAAGGGAGATGGGAAGTGTCAGTGGGGCTCAGCACTATGGGGTCCTGCGATGGGTCCTGCCCTGTCTGCCCAGAGATGGTTCCTTCAGAGGAAGAAGGCCCAGCTCACCATGTACCTCCCAGCCCAGTGGAGTGCTGCAAGAGTGCAGGACCACCCTTGGGGACATCACCTGGGTCCTATGGGCTCTGCCCTGGTGGCAGATGGAGGGACCTGAGTCCTGATGTGAGAGGCAGGAGGTGACACTGAATGCACAGCAGTGTACAGAGCCAGGCAGCTCCCTCTGTGCTGCAATGGCAGAGGTTTGGATTTCCAGGGTCCCTCCTGGCAAACTCCTCTTCCTTGTCGTGGACAGTAAGGGGATGAGTTACGAATCTGCTGGCATCAGAAAGGTCGGCAGCGCTTGGACTGCAGTGTGCCAGCACCGACCTCTGTGTGTGAACATTGGCTAATTAAGCATGCCTAATAGAGGAGTAGAGATAATTAGTGCAACAGGGTCTCCAGACATCCCGCGGTTATTGAAATGAATGGCACATCCCTGAGTGATGTCAAATGGGAGGAAATGGAGGGCGGAGGGGTCAGAGATACTCCAGTGAGTTGCAGGGCTGGGAGCAATGCTGCATCCCACTGCCATGCTGCATCCCCCTGCCATGCTGCATGCTGCTGCCCACGCTGCACCCCTGCACCCTGCTTCTGCTCCTGGGTTCTGGCTCTGGTTTCACCTCCATGCAGCAGTAAGCAGTGCAGGGGCTGAGCCTGCTGCTGCTGAGCTCTCTCCTCATACCACCACGCACAGAGATGATGGTGAGCTCCCAGCAGCTATTACCCAACTAACCTCGGGGGCACTGGGGAAGAGGTGACTGACAACCCGCAATTTCCCCAGCCAGAAGCGTGCTCGAATCCTCTTGCTTCTCGAGCTCTGTTTCACAAATGGGGGCTACATCCGTGCTCCAGGTTCCTGTGCTGCAGGTACCCCTGCACATTGCAGCCCTATGCCCTGGGTGCAGGCGCTCAGTGGGAGCAGCAGGACGTGGGGATGGCTGTAATGGATGCTGGGCTGCTTTTCCAGGTGGCTGAGCTGCGCTGTCTCTCCGATGAACTCTCAGCCGTGAACGGAGGCGAGCAGGCAGCAGCAATGCCCAGCAGTGGGGGTTGGATGGGGGAAGCCCACACAGCAGTGTGAGGACCCAAAGCAAGCAATTGAAGTCACCTCCACTCCATGGCTGTTTTCCCTTGTTTGTGGCACAATTAGAAGCTTTCTCACTCCCAAACCTCACTGGGAGGCACTGGGAGGCACAGCTGTTGCCCGGGAAGCTGCTCTGCCCTGTGCTGTGCCCCCATAGGGAGTGAAGGGGACATGGAGGTGGTGGGGACCGAAGGGCCCCAGCAATACCCCGAGCCCACAGGCACCGTGAGCACAGGAGCCAGGTTCTGCTGCTCCCTCAGCATCCTGGGTTAACAGAGTACCAAAATCTACAATGATTTTTATGCTCGGGCTTACAGAGCACCAAAGATCTGTCCCACTTCTCCCCATGGCAGCACAGAGCACGGCAGCAGGGGGTGTGGGAACCTTGGCCTCACTGCTTCATTGCTCACATGAGTGCCATAAAGTTCCCAGTTTTAGCCAAGTTCCGACCATTTCCCTCCTAAGAGACATAACAAAGTCCTCTGTCCTTTTAAAGCATTACAAGGAATTCGGTTCTGGCGCATCACTTGCAGAACGGTGCCAACTTCCAGCTCTGAGCGGGGAGGAGTTACAATGCAAAGCTCACCCTTGCACAGCCCAGAACCACAAAACCCAGCAGTGAAAATCCTGACCCTGGAACCCAGCAATACCTGGGAGCCCTCTGTGCCCGGCTGCCGCAGGAGTTTGATGGCACGGCTGCCCTCGCCGCGCTGGCTGCGCCCGTCGTGCCAGGTGAGGCTGGTGCCGGGGCTGCGCTGCAGGCGGTAGCTGAGGTTCTCAGCTGACACCGTGTGCTCCAGGAGGCTGCGGCAGAAGCTGAAGTGAGCGGCGGCGGCGGCGGCAGCTGCAGAAGGAAAGGGGGTGAGAGGGGTCTGCCCTGCACCCGGGACCCCCAAAAATGCCCCTTTTAGCTCCAAGCTGCCCAGCCGTATCCTGTCCTTTTCCATCTGCCTCTTTCTGATGGAAACTCTTTTCTGATCCAGTCAGCTGGATTCCAGAGACCGGGTGGAGTCAAGCTGTTCCCAGGGAGTTGGAGAAGAAGACCAGGGGCACACCAATGGGTGCAGGTTGGCCTGGAGCTGGGGGTGTGTGGGGCACGCATGCACCCCAACGCGCTCACCTTTGCAGCAACCATGGCCAGATTCAGTCCCTTGCCCTTACCTCTGTAAGCTCAGCTCGTGCATTTTGTTTGACTGCATTGCAATGAAGATGCAAAGCTCTCCTGCAGGCCAAAGGGGATTAGATGCTGCTGGGGGTGTGTGGGTAGAAGATGGTTTGGGATGAGCAGCGCTGATCTGCAGCAGCATCCACATCTCACCTGCCTCCAAACACCCCTTAAAGCAGAGCAGGAAAGCACCAGCAGCTGAGAATAACCAGGGCTGGGAGGGCTGGAGGGGATCTGCTGCTGCTCGGCCCCACTGGGTGCAGAGTGGAGGAGATTTCACCTCTCCCACACACCTTTATGCAAGGGGAAGGTGGGATGTAAATGCTGCCTGTGGAATTTATAGCCAGGACAGAAATAAATGTGTCTGAAGGCTGGATGTGTTGGATCCTGTAGGAAATGGGAAGTGAAAAGCGGAATGTCAGAGTTGGCTCCATGAGTGTTGCTCCAGCTTCGGATCAGCCTCCCAAGCCCTCTCTCGTGGGGCCAGAAAAAGGGATGGTTGGGTATGAGCTGAACAAAACCATGAGCACCTGTGCTGGGAGAGCAGCAGCTCCATGTCCCAGCTACGTGGACAGCATGTGCCATGCCGTGCCCCCTCCTGGCCTCCCAATTTCAAAATCCATCTTTGGGAAACAGCAGCCTGACCCTAAAACTTTGCTCTTGCTCAGGTTAGTTTGGAAAACGAGGTCTTGCCCTGGGAGCAGGGGGTTTACAGGAAGCAAATGGATTAGAACTGCACAGAGATGCTCTGTGCCCAGGGATGGAGCTGTGCCAGGGCTGTCCCTGTGGAAGGGCTCTGCCACCACGGGGACCTTTAGCCAGAGATGACCACGGAGCTCCAAGTGCCATCATTGTGGCTCACGGAGCAGCAGGATGTGGGTATCTCTGCTCCTCTTGCAGCAGGGCTCAAAGCAAAGCAGGAAAGCCAGCGAGAGCAGATGGGAGAGAGGGGGGAAGAAATAGGGGAAATGAGCCCGGAACAGCAGCGAGCAGGGAGAGCTGGGGTTCTGATCTGTGCGGGGGGCACCTCACAGCCCCCCACTCCCACATCCCAGCCCCGCATACCCCAGGTGCCCATCATGGGCACTGAAGGAGTGCCGAGACAGAACTCCCGTCCCCTCCATCCTTTCCATGTGGCTTCACCATGGCGCAGGGCAGAGCTGCTGCCTGCGTGGATGGAGTGCCAGAGCCACGGACCATCTTCAGAGCAAAGGCAGAACGGAGGAAAATCTTCTCCTCTCATCCCCATTCCAGCAGTGCATCCCTCTCTCTAAAACCAAACCAAATGAGCCTCCCCATCCCTCCCGGATGCCGCACCGTCCCCCAGCCCCGGGCCCCCTCACCTGGCTCAGGTGCGCCCTGCGAGCCGCGGATGCTGGCGACGCAGCAGAGGGACGGGCGGCCCTGCTGCATCCCTGCGGGAGGAGGGATGCGCGCGAGCGCTCGGCACCGGCTGTCACCAGCGCCGCTCCATCCCTACCTCCCCTCATGCCTCTTCCACACCTGACTGCCTCCGCTGATTGCCTCCGTCCTTCTGCCAATAAACGGCGGCCGCACGCTCGCCCCGCATCCGGGAGCTCCGGGCTGAGCAGCCCCCGCCGGCCTCACACGGGGGGGGCACAAACCTGCCGATCCCCTGCCGGGCATCCCAGCGAGGCGCAGCCGGGCGAGGCGGCAGCCCGAGGGCCTTAATCCCACCCTCGCCGTTGGATTTGGAGAGATGCTCCGTGCTATCCCCGCGTGCTCCCGGCTAATCCGGCGGCGGGGCCGGGGGGGCTTGGCCAGCTGGCACCGAGTGAGCAGCAGTTGTGCATCAAAGCACACCGTGGCCAGGAAAAGCCATGGCACAGCCAGGCACAGCCTTAGGACCCTGCTTGGGATGCGCAGCTCCTCTGCTCCCATTGGGCACAGGGGGTTTTCCGAATTCCCCCCAAGCCTGTGGGCCCTGCTCCACGGAATGGGTGCCTGCAGCCTTGGGAATCGCTGCTGGCTCCTTTTCCTTCAGTGGCTTTCATGCATTTTGGGCACTCCTCCAGCAGCGTGGGGCAGGGATGGAGCGCAGAGGCCGTGCTGCTACTTGGCTGTGCCTTCCCCTCACCCTGCACATGGTCTCTCCGTGTTTTTCCCCCTCTGGACACTTTTAGGGCTGGCTGCAAAGTGCTGCAGGAGCTCAGTGCAGCAGCAGCACCACTGGAGGGGGAGATGGATGGGAATCTCCTGGGAATGTGGCACAGAGACAGAAAGCTGAGGATGGGATGTCTGAATGCCAGTGCATCCTTGGGCAGCGGGATCAGGACCTTCTGCAAATGCACTTTGTGCCTGCACACACATGTTGTGCTTCCCCAGGGAATGCAGTTGCAAGCAACCCAAGTTCATGTGTTAATGGTGCAAGGAGCATGGCACAGAGGTGTGAGGAACAGCTTGCTCTGTGCCCCTGATGCCATCAATGTCCCCCATCCCTGCCCTGCTGCAGGGCCATATTTGCTATGGGGAGTGGAAGGGCTCCCAGGGGTGACACTGCAGCAGCAGTCCCTGGGAGACGTTTGCTTTGCAGGAACAAACCCCACATTGGTGTGCTTGGTGTCTCCAAGGGGAAGAGACATTTAGCACCAAATGGTGTGAGAGATTTTCCTGCAGTCAGAGGGGGATTTGTGGCAGGGATTCACTGGAGTGCTCAGCCTGCTGCTGCTGCTCCTCGAGGTGAGGACAGGGCTGAGAGCTGAGCTCTCCAGGAACCCCTGGGATAGGGGAACTGAGCACAGCTCTACTCGCAGGGTGGCTCTTTGAGGGATTTGTCTCACTTTCAGCAGTGTCTACATGAGCCACAAATCTGCCTGGCATTGCCATTGTCCCAGGCTCCTCCATCCCTTCCCCGCGGCTTCACCACCATGCAGGGCAGAGCTGCTGCTGGCACAGAGCCCTGGAGCTCAGCGATGCTCTCTGAGACCCCCATGGTATACAGTGCTGGAAGCTGGACTTCTACAATGTTCTATAAACCAGATCCTACCCTGAGACATTCCCAAATTCCTGCTGTCCCCGAGCAGGACAGGACCAAACCCAAAGCAGAGCAATGACCCTATGGAGCTCACACTCTCCAGGTCACCCCTGAGGCATACCCGGCTCAGTCCCTTGCTGCCATTAACACCATTCCATAATTTTCCTCATAATTCCCTGCTTGTGAAGGTGAAAGCCTGAGCCCCTCACATGGCCGGGGACGGAGCCAAGTGGGAAGGGAGGAGGAAGAGAACAAAAGGCAATGTCCTTCCCATGGCTGTATGTGTCTTTGTGGGTGTCTGTGCTGCTGAGGCCATGGACGCTACCAAGGGGTCCCTGATCACCTTGGGACAGGGATGTGGGCAGGGCAGGATCTCCTGGTAGGAGCCCACCAGCACAGACACACCACATGCAGAGAGCCCATTCCATGTCCCTGAGTTCTTCCCAGGTGTCCCACCCTGCTCGGCACCCTGCTCCTGTCCTTGCACCCCCTCTCTCCAGTCCAAGAGCCCATTTCATTGGTATCCCCAAAACTGGGGATGAAAATAGGGATGGACAGACAGACACCTTCCCAGGATGGAGGGGGCTGCGTATGGGAAGGAAGGTGCAGACCCCCAGAATGGAGGAGACAGCACGTGGGGATGGAGGACAAATCCTGGGAGAGAGGGCAGACTCATGGGGTGGAGAGGACACTGCAGGGGGCGATGGAAAGCAGCCCCCGGGATGGGAGAAGGACCCCGGCATGAAGGGGCAGAGCCTCATTAACGGAGGGAATGGAGCCCAGGGACAGAGGGGACGTTCCACCAAGGATGGAGGACGTACACCGGGATGGAGGGAGGAGCTGGGGACAGGAGGGTGATGGAGGCAGCCCCCAGGACGGATATACAAACCGCGCATTTCGGGTAGGAGGACCTGATCCCCACGGTGCACCTGAGTCCCTCCTTTCCCCCCCCCCCCCCCACCGCCGCTACCTTCCATGTCCTTGGCTTCGCCGCAGCTCATCCTCCGCTCGGAAGGGGCCGCGCTCCGGCGGGGACGGAGCCCCCGCGCCCCCCAGCGCCGCCGCCGGCACCGGGAGCTCCGGGCCCGCCCCGCCCCGGTGCCCGCGCCGGGGGCGGTGCCGCTCTCCGCCACCCCCGGGCGCTCCGCCCGCCGCTCCGCTCCGCGCCGCCCCGCCGCCAGCACGGTGCTGCCCGATCCCCGGTGATATCTGCCCGGTGATGCTCTGTCTCCGGTGATGCTCGGTCCTTGGTGCTATCCGCTCAGTGATGCCCAATCCCTGGTCCCACCCAATCGCCGGTGTTGCCCAGTTCCTGATGAGCCCAGTTCCCGGTGATGCCCGATCCCCAGTGCTGCCTGCTGCCTGGTGATGCTCAGTCCCTGCTGCTGTGCACTCGGTGATTGCCCAAGCCATGGCGACAAGCCCTATTCCTGGAGACACCTGATTTCCCAATGATGCCCAACCTCCAGTGATGCCCAACCCCCAGTGATACCCAATTCCCAGCCGTGCCCAGTCCCCGGTTGCACCTGATCCCCAGTGATACCCAATTCCCAATGATCCCTGCTCCCTACTGATGCCCACTGCCCAGTGATACCTCCTCTATCCCCCACCCCCTGCCCCAGACTCAGCCCCTACCTCCTCCAGGCACACATCCCCAGCTGCCTCCAGCCCACTGCAGCCAAGCATTGGGTTTGGAGACACATGGGTTGGTTGGTGGATGGGGACTGGGACCCAGCTGTGTATCCAGGATGAGGGCAAGCAGGTGTCTGTGCCATGATGCACTGCTGGGAGCACTTTCCCTTTGCAAAGCACTCCCTGTCGCAGACCCATCCCAACACTGAGCAATGCCCTGCCCTTGTTTTAAGATCAGAAAAACTCATGTTTGTGGAATGCTGGCTCCAAAATCACACCCTGTCCTCAGCAGAGTTCCAGGGGCTGAGAGCACAGCAGGTGTGCCGCGGTGTCACTGAGCTGGAATGAGGCTGTGCACAAAAACTAACATTGCTACGGCAGTAAAGCGGCTCGTGTTTGGGTGGCACAGCCTTCTTTCAGCACACAGCCCTTGTAAAAAACACCACAAGATTTTGCAAAATGTTGTAAAAAAAATTGCAAAAGTTTGGATGCTCACGCAGGAGCTGCTCCGGATGGGGCTCAGCTCACACATCCCTCTGCACCGTGTGGGCACAGTCTTTCCTCGCTCAGCTTGCCCCTCTTTAAAGCAGAGCACAGACGGCCCCAGCAGTGCACGCAGCACAGCACTGAGCTGACACCACACCACCTCCCAGGCCTTGCTATTGGCATCCCTTTTATTACCTCTGCAAGAGAGAAGCTCAGGCAGTATTGTTTATCGCAGGCATCCGACTCCTTCAAATACCCAGCGAGCTATTTTCCATTACTCCAAAATTTCCAGTTCTCCTTCAGTCTCTGTCTGCACACAGAGTTTCGGAGCCTAGGCAGAAATCTTTAGAGAGCAGAATGTGTGTGCAGGGCCCTTGGCAGGGAAAGGCAAACGGTGCCTGAAAAATGTGTGCAGATTGCGCCAAGCTGCTATTAGAAATAAGCCCTGCTCCCAGCCACTGCTCTGCCTGGTTTTACGGCGGTAATTGCACTTCTCCAAGAGAGGTTTAATGTGTGAGGGGGAAAGAATTTTGCTCCTCTTCACTGCTTGCAAACAGGTCAGTGCAGATCTGCTGTCCCCATGGTGTGTGGCAATGCTGTGGGAACCACCGAGCTGGGGTTCCTCTGTTTTCAGAATAAAACTGTCCTGAGGAGCTGCAAAGCCTCTGGGCTATCACCCCTGGTCCTGCTGTGGCTGAGCATCCCCCAGTGTTTCTGCAGTACCCTGGAGACCACCTGCACACACCCATGGAGAAGGACGAAGCTACAGATGGGCACTTCTTCATTAGGAAATTTTTGGTTTCCCTTTGGGTCTCTCAGTGCATGGCTGAGAGCTCTCTGCAGCCCAAGAAAACAGGGGAAAAAACAGGGGGAAAGCTGTGTGTGGAACCCAAACTCAGAGCATGGCTTGGGGAGGGCCAAGTTGGTGCTCTGTGCCCTGCGCCCATTCCCATGCCCATTTCCATCCAATCCCCATCCCTGTGCTCACCCCCTTCCCATCCCCATCCCATTCCCATCCCATCCTCATCTCATCTGCATCCCATCCCACTCCACCCCCTTCCCATCCCATCCTCATCCCATTTTCATCCCCATCCTCATCCCATCCCCATCTCATCCCACTCCACCACCTTTCTACCTCCATCCCATCCCCATCCCCATCCCTATCCCCATCCCCATCCCTATCCCCATCCCCATCCCTATCCCTTTCCCTATCCCTATCCCTATCCCTGTCCCTATCCCCATCCCCATCCCCATCCCCACCCGCCAGCAGCCCCGCAGAATTGTGCCTGCAGATGGGATG